AAACAAAACCAGGGACAACCCAGAGATAATCAGGAATGTAAGACCCAAACAAAACCAGGGACAATCAGGAGTGTAGGACCCAAACAAAACCAGGAACAACTCAGGGACAATCAGGAGTGTAGGACCCAAACAAAACCAGGGACAACTCAGGGACAATCAGGAGTGTAAGGCCCAAACAAAACCAGGGACAACTCAGGGACAATTAGGAGTGTAGGACCCAAACAAAACCAGGAACAACCCAGGGACAATCAGGAGTGAAGGACCCAAACAAAACCAGGGACAATCAGGAATGTAGAACCCAAACAAAACCAGGAATTATGGAAATGGCATTTAGTTTTGAATGTATGATTGTGTGGTCGTTAGTGTGTACATATATATGGAGGTTTCTTTATAGCTATACTTATATAAATAAATTATAAATAAACTTGTGAATATTGAATACCAAATCCTCCTGTGCTCTCTCAGCTGCCCACAAGTCATCCAATGTTACAATGATGATCCAAACAGTATATGTAGTCCCAGTACTCAATATACAAACAGTACAGGTAGTCCCAGTCCTCAATACCCAAACAGTGCAGGTAGTCCCAGTCCTCAATATCCAAACAGTACAGGTATTCCCAGTCCTCAATATCCAAACAGTACAGGTAGTCCCTGTACTCAATATCCAAACAGTACAGGTAGTCCTAGTCCTTAATAACCAAACAGTACAGGTAGTCCCAGTCCTCAATATCCAAACAGTACAGGTATTCCCAGTCCTCAATATCCAAACAGTACAGGTAGTCCTAGTCCTCAATATACAAACAGTACAGGTAGTCCTAGTCCTCAATATCCAAACAGTACAGGTAGTCCTAGTCCTTAATAACCAAACAGTACAGGTGGTCCCAGTACTCAATATCCAAACAGTACAGGTAGTCCCAGTCCTCAATATCCAAACAGTACAGATAGTCCCAGTCCTCAATATACAAACAGTACAGGTAGTCCCAGTCCTCAATATCCAAACAGTACAGGTAGTCCTAGTCCTTAATAACCAAACAGTACAGGTGGTCCCAGTACTCAATATACAAACAGTACAGGTAGTCCCAGTCCTCAATATCCAAACAGTACAGATAGTCCCAGTCCTCAATATACAAACAGTACAGGTAGTCCCTGTACTCAATATACAAACAGTACAGGTAGTCCCTGTACTCAATATACAAACAGTACAGGTAGTCCCAGTCCTCAATATCCAAACAGTACAGATAGTCCCAGTCCTCAATATACAAACAGTACAGGTAGTCCCTGTACTCAATATACAAACAGTACAGGTAGTCCCAGTCCTCAATATACAAACAGTACAGGTAGTCCCAGTACTCAATATACAAACAGTACAGGTAGTCCCTGTACTCAATATCCAAACAGTACAGGTAGTCCCAGTCCTCAATATCCAAACAGTACAGGTAGTCCCAGTCCTCAATATCCAAACAGTACAGGTAGTCCCAGTCCTTAATATCCAAACAGTACAGGTAGTCCCAGTCCTCAATATCCAAATAGTACAGGTAGTCCCAGTCCTTAATATCCAAATAGTACAGGTAGTCCCAGTCCTTAATATCCAAATAGTACAGGTAGTCCCAGTCCTCAATATCCAAATAGTACAGGTAGTCCCAGTACTCAATATCCAAACAGTACAGGTAGTCCCAGTCCTCAATATCTAAACAGTACAGGTAGTCCCAGTCCTTAATATCCAAACAGTACAGATAGTTCCAGTCCTTCATACAGAAACTGAGTCAACATCAAAGCAATACAGTCACCCCTCTGTCTTAAATACCAGTATGAAATATCCATCACGTACAGGATTTGAAATCAGGTGATTGTCATCGAAATCTTGATTCTGACAAAGCCAGTTTACAGCTTTTATCTAGTTCCAACACATTTTGATAATACTCACCTTCCATATGTTTACAGACCTCCTATGTAGCATCAGAAACAGACTACTCGGTTAATGACACTGTGTTTCTACCAATTTCACAACAATTCCCAAACTAGCTTTATACTGGACAGGTTAATTGATATGCAGGCATGCAAAGGTAAATTACATTGGAAAGCTCACCCGAGGTTTGGTTTGTCTAAATTGTATGGTCTGTATATAAGTAATGTAAAGGAAGTGTTGCCAACTGAAGTACTGCGATATTTATCCAGACACCAACCTTAATGTCATAACCCTGGTTCAAAAGGATAAAACCTTACCACAAACAGGCTACCTAAGTATATACAAGACTATCAGGGAACAACTTAGAGATACATTTAGAAGGGTAACAACAATAGCAAAACCAGGAACAACCCAGGGACAATCAGGAGTGTAAGGCCCAAACAAAACCGGGAACAACCCAGGGACAATCAGGAGTGTAAGGCCCAAACAAAACCGGGAACAACCCAGGTATAATCAGGAGTGTAAGGCCCAAACAAAACCGGGTAACAACCCAGGGACAATCAGGAGAGTAGGACCTAAACAAAACCAGGGACAATCAGGAGTGTAAGGCCCAAACAAAACCAGGAACAACCCAGGGATAATCAGGAGTGTAAGGCCCAAACAAAACCGGGTAACAACCCAGGGACAATCAGGAGTGTAGGACCCAAACAAAACCGGGGAACATCCCAGGGACAATCAGGAGTGTAAGGCCCAAACAAAACCGGGGAACATCTGAGGGACAACCAGGAGTGTAAGGCCCAAACAAAACCGGGTAACAACCCAGGGACAATCAGGAGTGTAAGGCCCAAACAAAACCGGGGAACATCCCAGGGACAATCAGGAGTGTAAGGCCCAAACAAAACCGGGTAACAACCCAGGGACAATCAGGAGTGTAAGGCCCAAACAAAACCGGGGAACATTTAAGGGACAACCAGGTGTGTAAGACCCAAACAAAACCGGGTAAAAACCCAGGTACAATCAGGAGTGTAAGGCCCAAACAAAACCCGGTAACAACCCAGGTACAATCAGGAGTGTAAGGCCCAAACAAAACCGGGTAACAACCCAGGTACAATCAGGAGTGTAAGGCCCAAACAAAACCAGGGAACATTTGTGGGACAACCAGGAGTGTAAGACCCAAACAAAACCGGGTAAAAACCCAGGTACAATCTGGAGTGTAAGACCCAAACAAAACTGGGTAAAAACCCAGGTACAATCAGGAGTGTAAGGCCCAAACAAAACCGGGTAACAACCCAGGTACAATCAGGAGTGTAAGGCCCAAACAAAACCGGGAAAAACCCTGGTACAATCAGGAGTTTAGGACCCAAACAAAACAGGGGAACATCTGAGGGACAAACAGGAGTGTAAGACCCAAACAAAACCGGGGAACATCTGAGGGACAAACAGGTGTGTAAGACCCAAACAAAACCGGGTAAAAACCCAGGTACAATCAGGAGTGTAAGGCCCAAACAAAACCGGGGAACATCTGAGGGACAACCAGGAGTGTAAGGCCCAAACAAAACCGGGTAACAACCCAGAGACCATAAGATCAGAAGAGTAAACACCCTAATAAAACCAGAGATCAACTTAGGGACATCAGAAGGCACAACTAGGGAACAAGCCAGGAACCATCAGAAGGTATGAAACCTTACACAACCTGGGAACAAGCCAGGTACCATCAGAAGGTATAGAACCTTACACAACCGGGGAACAAGCTAGGAACCATCTGAAGGTATAGAACCTTACACAACCGGGGAACAAGCTAGGTACCATCAGAAGGTATAGAACCTTACACAACCGGGGAACAAGCCAGGAACCATCTGAAGGTATAGAACCTTACACAACCTGGGAACAAGCCAGGAACCATCAGAAGGTATAGAACCTTACACAACCGGGGAACAAGCCAGGAACCATCAGAAGGTATAGAACCTTACACAACAGGGGAACAAGCCAGGAACCATCAGAAGGTATGGAACCTTACACAACCTGGGAACAAGCCAGGAACCATCAGAAGGTATAGAACCTTACACAACAGGGGAACAAGCCAGGAACCATCAGAAGGTATAGAACCTTACAAACAAGAGATCAAGGAGGGATATTGGAACCAGCGTTTGATCTCCTTTTTTTCCCCCTTTGTTTGTTTGTTTGTTTTTTTTGGGCAATTAAATCTTTTCCCTTCTTTGGTCTCCTCGTTTTTTTTGCTCTTAATTATATGAAATTTACCTCCTGTTGCCCTGGTAATGTATAATGAAATATGATCAGACATGTTCACCTCCTGTTGCCCTGGTAATGTATAATGAAATATGATCAGACATGTTCACCTCCTGTTGCCCTGGTAATGTATAATGAAATATGATCAGACATGTTCACCTCCTGTTGCCCTGGTAATGTATAATGAAATATGATCAGACATGTTTACCTCCTGTTGCCCTGGTAATGTATAATGAAATATGATCAGACATGTTTACCTCCTGTTGCCCTGGTAATGTATAATGAAATATGATCAGACATGTTTACCTCCTGTTGCCCTGGTAATGTATAATGAAATATGATCAGACATGTTTACCTCCTGTTGCCCTGGTAATGTATAATGAAATATGATCAGACATGTTTACCTCCTGTTGCCCTGGTAATGTATAATGAAATATGATCAGACATGTTTACCTCCTGTTGCCCTGGTAATGTATAATGAAATATGATCAGACATGTTTACCTCCTGTTGCCCTGGTAATGTATAATGAAATATGATCAGACATGTTCACCTCCTGTTGCCCTGGTAATGTATAATGAAATATGATCAGACATGTTCACCTCCTGTTGCCAAGGTAATGTGTTATAAAATATGATCAGACATGTTCACCTCCTGTTGCCAAGGTAATGTGTTATAAAATATGATCAGACATGTTTACCTCCTGTTGCCCTGGTAATGTGTTATAAAATATGATTAGACATGTTTACCTCCTGTTGCCAAGGTAATGTGTTATAAAAATATGATCAGACATGTTTACCTCCTGTTGCCAAGGTAATGTGTTATAAAAATATGATCAGACATGTTTACCTCCTGTTGCCCTGGTAATGCAGTATTAACAAGCTTCGCCACCTCCTTGTTCATGGCCTTCATGATGTCCCGCCTCGTCAGTTCCTTAAACTGGACATCACTTGGTGTGCGTCTGTGGCCCCTCACATACGCCGTCTGTAAGAATAAAATTATTTAAGTTATTTCATCATTATGTGTCACTTGTTCAAATGCGACATTCAGTGGAAATTTTTTTTTTAGATATTACAAAACATCCTTGTTTATCATGTTTTTGTGTCTCTTAAGTGTGGTCAATAGATTGACATTTATTTATATTATGGCATATTAAATAAAAAAAAAACTAAATTGAAAAAGATAACTCTGAACCTGTATATTAAGGCCACCTGCTTTTGTAGCCACTTTGACTGGATCCTTTGTTGGCCCTTATTATTCAGGACAGATTTTACACACGAATTAGATTGACAAGTGTAAAATTACTCCTATATGTTCAAGCTGAATTTTTTTTTTTTAAATTCGAGTTAAACTGTTCAGAAAAATTACAGATTTGTATAACAGAACTACCTTACAGGATGTAGACCTGGAATGGTTATGAGACACTACATAATACAGATTCTCTTTATATAGAATTAAACTACATGATTGACGTGTGATAATACAAAAGTTGAAACACTTGAATTAACAAGTAATTAATATTTTCAGAATTATTTTGGGATACTGTTATAAATACCGAAAAACACAGGACAAATTTCAAAACTTTTCAATACAAAATGACAGCCTGGAACTTCCAAGAAATATAGAAAAAAAACCTCTATATCATAGTCTCATCACATTATCCAACCTAACTAAATGCAGGGTTACATAACAATGTATGTGTGTATCATATTTTCTGTCTGATCAAAATGCCTGCGTGGTCTGCCTATAGCTAGGACCCTCGGTATGATCTGATTACACCCACACACTAGAAGACTACACTTGTGCATTAGTTGACTGTCCTTCACTGATTAATTTCACTGTAAGTTTCAGACTGTTACACCATTCTGTTTGCTAGGCTTGGCTAGGCGTGCCGGTCATATAATGCTTGAAGGTAAACAGGCAGTCCATTTATCACCATCGTTAAATAACAAAAAGGTCAGTCTTACTACTGTATGAGGTAAACAGTCAGCCCTATTACTACCAGTGATATTTGCCAATGGTTAAACACCCAGTCCTTTAACTGCCAACAGTAAATATTCATATACAATGTATTATTGCCTGTGGTAAAATGTTATACAAGACTGAAAGTGGTAGACAGAATCAGTACTTGTTCTGCAAGTGGTAAACAGAAACAGTACTTGTACTGCAAGTGGTAAACAGAATCAGTACTTGTACTGCAAGTGGTAAACAGAATCAGTACTTGTACTGCAAGTGGTACACAGGATCAGTACTTGTACTGCAAGTGGTACACAGGATCAGTACTAGTACTGCAGGTGGTACACAGGATCAGTACTTGTACTGCAAGTGGTACACAGAATCAGTACTAGTACTGCAAGTGGTACACAGAATCAGTACTAGTACTGCAAGTGGTACACAGGATCAGTACTTGTACTGCAAGTGGTACACAGGATCAGTACTTGTACTGCAAGTGGTACACAGAATCAGTACTTGTACTGCAAGTGGTACACAGAATCAGTACTAGTACTGCAAGTGGTACACAGGATCAGTACTTGTACTGCAAGTGGTACACAGGATCAGTACTTGTACTGCAAGTGGTACACAGGATCAGTACTAGTACTGCAAGTGGTACACAGGATCAGTACTTGTACTGCAAGTGGTACACAGAATCAGTACTTGTACTACAAGTGGTACACAGAATCAGTACTTGTACTGCAAGTGGTACACAGGATCAGTACTAGTACTGCAAGTGGTACACAGGATCAGTACTTGTACTACAAGTGGTACACAGGATCAGTACTTGTACTACAAGTGGTACACAGAATCAGTACTTGTACTACATATGGTACACAGAATCAGTACTTGTACTACAAGTGGTACACAGGATCAGTACTTGTACTGCAAGTGGTACACAGAATCAGTACTTGTACTACAAGTGGTACACAGAATCAGTACTTGTACTACAAGTGGTAAACAGGATCAGTACTTGTACTACAAGTGGTACACAGAATCAGTACTTGTACTGCAAGTGGTAAACAGAATCAGTACTTGTACTGCAAGTGGTAAACAGAATCAGTACTTGTACTACAAGTGGTACACAGGATCAGTACTTGTACTACAAGTGGTACACAGAATCAGTACTTGTACTGCAAGTGGTACACAGGATCAGTACTTGTACTACAAGTGGTAAACAGAATCAGTACTTGTACTGCAAGTGGTAAACAGAATCAGTACTTGTACTGCAAGTGGTAAACAGAATCAGTACTTGTACTGCAAGTGGTAAACAGAATCAGTACTTGTACTGCAAGTGGTACACAGGATCAGTACTAGTACTGCAAGTGGTACACAGAATCAGTACTTGTACTGCAAGTGGTACACAGAATCAGTACTTGTACTGCAGGTGGTACACAGGATCAGTACTAGTACTGCAAGTGGTACACAGAATCAGTACTTGTACTGCAAGTGGTACACAGGATCAGTACTAGTACTGCAAGTGGTACACAGAATCAGTACTTGTACTACAAGTGGTACACAGAATCAGTACTTGTACTACAAGTGGTACACAGAATCAGTACTAGTACTGCAAGTGGTACACAGAATCAGTACTTGTACTACAAGTGGTACACAGAATCAGTACTAGTACTGCAAGTGGTACACAGAATCAGTACTAGTACTGCAAGTGGTACACAGAATCAGTACTTGTACTACAAGTGGTACACAGGATCAGTACTTGTACTACAAGTGGTACACAGAATCAGTACTAGTACTGCAAGTGGTACACAGGATCAGTACTTGTACTACAAGTGGTACACAGGATCAGTACTTGTACTACAAGTGGTACACAGAATCAGTACTAGTACTACAAGTGGTACACAGGATCAGTACTTGTACTGCAAGTGGTACACAGGATCAGTACATGTACTACAAGTGGTACACAGGATCAGTACTTGTACTACAAGTGGTACACAGAATCAGTACTAGTACTACAAGTGGTAAACTGTCAGTCCTAGTACATGTATCATGAACAGTCAGTACTGATAATACTATGGTAAAAGGGATTTGATAAATGGTTGAAAATTGACAAATAATGTTTGAAGTGAATTAAACCTGTGTCTACTTTGTTTGAAGGAGACAACAATGATGACCATGGCGACCATTTAAACTTTCATCCGAGCGACACAATGATTAATTACATCAACTCCACCCAATGTTTAACAAATAAAATCCTTTTAATGTAAAGACATATCAGTGTAATAGGTGAACCTAAAACGTCTGTCACCCGCAGAGTTTACACAAACTTCATTAGTCATATTACATGTTTAATTCCATAACTTAGCAGACAAGTTCTGTCCAGACATTCCATGAATATAAATATGACGTATGAATCGGCATCTACTTTATGATAAAGGCTTATAATAAAAAATAGTCATAATAGTAACCACAATGTCATGAATACAGATGAATCTATGACTAAATTACCATGTATATAATTTTATAAGATTCCTTACATAATCAGATATATACCTGTCAAGGTTTTTAAGCAATACTGTTATGAGAAGAAAGATCTTGATCTCTATGTATGGAGTATCTTTCTTGCATATAAACAATAACTGAAACATCTGACATAAAAAGTAAAATTTATTTACAAACAAAATAACAAGTGGCCCATTGGGCCTATATCACTCATCTGGCTTAGTTCAGCTGAAAATGCTTCATCAACAATAAAGGAAAAGGAATTCTAAAGGTTTATATCTATTTCCCCAATGAGCCCCACCCCTCTGCATAAAGGAGGTCAGCCAAACAAAACTTCACTCAAGCATGCTTCGGATCTGGAATAGGATCATACTGTAACCCTGGTAAAATACTAGCCGCAATATACCACTCGGCTGGAGAGAACTTCTCTTTAGCTCGATTGGTTGAGCGTCAGACTAGTAAGCCAGGGGTCCCGTGTTCGATTCCTTGCGGAGGCATTGAGATGAAAAATGACCTCTGTTACACTACCATTTCTACTGAAGGAAAAGGATTGGTTACATTTCCTTATTGGGCCCAAAATGCCCAAAGGGAAAACTCAAGGATGTTTCAGATCAAATTTAGGCAAAATCCAAATATTCCTACAGGAGGAGTAGGATTTTAAAGAATTTGCTCTATTTCTTCTAATGGGCCAAACCTTTGTGTGGGGGCAGAGACCTTACATTTATGAAAAGATAGATCCCTGTACTCACAGATGCTTCACAAAACTTTCAGCAAAATCTAATCATTCCTATAGGAGACGTAGAATTTTAAAGAATTTGCTTTATTTCCCCTAATGGGACCCATCCTTCCAACTCCAGAGATCCATCATTTAATATACATTTCCCCATCCCCCTAAAGGATGCTTTAGCACAAATTTTGTCAAAATCCACTCAACTGTTCATTACAAATGCCACAACATTAGCTCACAACTCCTTCTGACCAGGTGAACAAATAAATGTTTTTGAGAGACATGATCATAAGATTGTTTGTGCTTGCAGTTATACGAAGGGGACTGAGGGATATAATTGTTTAACTGTAAGTGTTAGTAGTTGTTATTGAGGGACATGACTATCAGAATGTTAGTGTCAGTAGTTGTTAGTGAGAGACATGACTGTCAGAATGTTAGTGTCAGTGGTTGTTGGTGAGAGACATGACTGTCAGAATGTTAGTGTCAGTAGTTGTTGGTGAGAGACATGACTGTCAGAATGTTAGTGTCAGTAGTTGTTAGTGAGAGACATGACTGTCAGAATGTTAGTGTCATTAGTTGTTGGTGAGGGACATGACTGTCAGAATGTTAGTGTCAGTAGTTGTTGGTGAGGGACATGACTGTCAGAATGTTAGTGTCAGTAGTTATTGGTGAAGGACATGACTATCAGAATGTTAGTGTCAGTAGTTATTAGTGAGGGACATGACTGTCAGAATGTTAGTGTCAGTAGTTGTTGGTGAGAGACATGACTGTCAGAATGTTAGTGTCAGTAGTTGTTAGTGAGGGACATGACTGTCAGAATGTTAGTATCAGTAGTTGTTGGTGAGGGACAGAACTGTCACAATGTTAGTGTCAGTAGTTGTTGGTGAGGGACAGGACTGTTGGACTGTTAGTGTTAGTAGTTGTGGGTGGGGGGACATAACTGTCAGAATGTTAGTGTTAGTAATTGTTGGTGAGGGACATGACTGTCAGAATGTTAGTGTCAGTAGTTGTTGGTGAGGGACATGACTGTCAGAATGTTAGTGTCATTAGTTGTTGGTGAGGGACAGAACTGTCACAATGTTAGTGTCAGTAGTTGTTGGTGAGGGACATGACTGTCAGAATGTTAGTATCAGTAGTTGTTGGTGAGGGACAGAACTGTCACAATGTTAGTGTCAGTAGTTGTTGGTGAGGGACAGGACTGTTGGACTGTTAGTGTTAGTAGTTGTGGGTGGGGGGACATAACTGTCAGAATGTTAGTGTTAGTAATTGTTGGTGAGGGACATGACTGTCAGAATGTTAGTGTCATTAGTTGTTGGTGAGGGACATGACTGTCAGAATGTTAGTGTCATTAGTTGTTGGTGAGGGACAGAACTGTCACAATGTTAGTGTCAGTAGTTGTTGGTGAGGGACATGACTGTCAGAATGTTAGTATCAGTAGTTATTGGTGAGGGACATGACTGTCAAAATGTTAGTGTCAGTAGTTGTTAGTGAGGGACATGACTGTCAGAATGTTAGTGTCAGTAGTTGTTGGTGAGATACATGACTGTCAGAATGTTAGTGTCATTAGCTGTTGGTGAGGGACATGACTGTCAGAATGTTAGTGTCAGTAGTTGTTGGTGAGGGACATGACTGTCAGAATGTTAGTGTCAGTAGTTATTGGTGAAGGACATGACTATCAGAATGTTAGTGTCAGTAGTTGTTAGTGAGGGACATGACTGTCAGAATGTTAGTATCAGTAGTTGTTGGTGAGGGACAGAACTGTCACAATGTTAGTGTCAGTAGTTGTTGGTGAGGGACAGGACTGTTGGACTGTTAGTGTTAGTAGTTGTGGGTGAGGGACATGACTGTCAGAATGTTAATGTTAGTAGTTGCTGGTGAGGGACATGACTGTCAGAATGTTAGTATCAGTAGTTATTGGTGAGGGACATGACTGTCAAAATGTTAGTGTCAGTAGTTGTTAGTGAGGGACATGACTGTCAGAATGTTAGTGTCAGTAGTTGTTAGTGAGGGACATGACTGTCAGAATGTTAGTGTCAGTAGTTGTTGGTGAGAGACATGACTGTCAGAATGTTAGTGTCAGTAGTTGTTGGTGAGAGACATGACTGTCAGAATGTTAGTGTCATTAGTTGTTGGTGGGGACATGACTGTCAGAATGTTAGTGTCAGTAGTTGTTAGTGAGGGACATGACTGTCAGAATGTTAGTGTCAGTAGTTGTTGGTGAGAGACATGACTGTCAGAATGTTAGTGTTAGTAGTTGTTGGTGAGAGACATGACTGTCAGAATGTTAGTGTCATTAGTTGTTGGTGAGGGACAGAACTGTCACAATGTTAGTGTCAGTAGTTGTTGGTGAGGGACAGAACTGTCACAATGTTAGTGTCAGTAGTTGTTGGTGAGGGACAGAACTGTCACAATGTTAGTGTCAGTAGTTGTTGGTGAGGGACATGACTGTCAGAATGTTAGTGTCAGTAGTTATTGGTGAAGGACATGACTATCAGAATGTTAGTGTCAGTAGTTGTTGGTGAGGGACATGACTGTCAGAATGTTAGTATCAGTAGTTGTTGGTGAGGGACAGAACTGTCACAATGTTAGTGTCAGTAGTTGTTGGTGAGGGACAGAACTGTCACAATGTTAGTGTCAGTAGTTGTTGGTGAGGGACAGGACTGTTGGACTGTTTGTTTGAACAATTGCACATGAGCAAAATGATTTATGATCATAATACAGTTTGTTTTAGCAGTTATGACCATGATTATATAACACTGTATTTAGAGGAGGAACCTGCACAGCTCATCCAAGGACCTGAATAGACCAGATACACTGATACATACAATAAAAGTCAACTATCACACAAAACAATGTTGCCACAAAGCATGTAAACATAACATCTGCTACACTGTGTATATTGACTAATCAAATCCTCTGTACAGTTGTCACAATACAAATAGATGTTACCATGACTTACTGTTACCAGCCACATCACCAGTTTAATCACTGCCCTTCCCAAAGACACAGTGACAGTTCTCAATTCCGATCAATTTTCATAAAGAATAGTTTTATATCTATAATTGTATCACAAATCAAGTTTTTTTTTTTTACAATTATGTACATAACTTAAAATTGGCTCGTTTGCTGGGTTTATTAATTAAGAACAGCCAGGGTCAAGAGTATCCTTGCAGTAGCTGGTCACTAATTCAATGAACAATATGTGGGATGGCCCTCGCTTGTCATCCATAGCAATTAGGGTCAAATGTCTCGCCCAAGGACAATATGAATGCACAGACTTCCCGATAAACACAAATTGCCATGGGTAGTCACTAGAGATTCTCAAACCATACATTTTAGAGCTACATCTGAGGTCATGTATGCTATCATGTATATCTCTAAAAAAAGTTTCATCTTTGAATGTTCAACTTGCAAGGTCAATGACAACAGAATTATAGCTGAAGCTGGCAAACTTGATATTTAATGTTTATATTGTTCAAGTAAATGGCATGTGCAGGGTCTTTTCTTTCATTTTTAATTATGTAGTAGAAATACTAAAATTGATGTAAATGTAGCATGCTATTACATATGATGTACAGCCTACCTAAACAGGATACAAATTCTGATTGTTTTCTGTACACGTATGCTATATCCTTACTCACAGTAAGTCAATGCATATAAATGTACCATAAGTATGGTAACTTTATAGCAAAATGCAAAATAAATTACTCTCAAATTTATATCTCTCCTCCCTCAAACCAAAAACTCCACCAAGTTTTAAAATTAATTCTAATCAATTATATCTAAACACTTTAAAATTCAAATTTTGTGAATTGTAATTTCAATTCAATTTCCCAAATTCACAATAATTTTGCTTCTGTGACTTTTCATCGCAGTTGAACATAAACCTAGATATACCCCGGTACATAGATATATGTATATAAAGACATGTTGCAAAAGAGATAAGCTAGATAAGCTGTTATAACGGAAAATACTTTAATTTTGCTGATCAAACTGTTGGTGTGGGATTCCTGTACTACCATATTTATATAACTACTGTTGGGATATCTCCTGTAGTAGATATGTTACTACAGCTGTATCCCCTGTAACGCTGATACTGTAACTTACTGTTTGGGTCCTGTAACTCTTTTAATGTAACTGCTGTTCTCCTGTAACAATGTTACTATTGAACTGTACATAATACCAAGTTGTACTTACATAGACTGACAGTGGATCGTTGGTAGCCTGTGAGAGTACGGTTGTAGCCGACATTTTTCTTTCAATTGACACGTGCTACTATACAGTATTTATACAATTTCTAGTTCCTGGTCTCTGTCAGAAACACAATAAACCATGAACAAACATTGATTATACTGGCTGAGGAGATTTCCAAGATGACACTTCACAGTGGCACTTCAAGGTCTTTTTTCATTGTGAGGATAGCTGAACACAGGTAGGTCACAGTTTTAGCTATATCACACAATTATCTCACAGTTTGTGTGAATAATTGGGTCTTATCATGTCTAAAACTGAGCACTCTTTTTAAGACAAATTTTATAATTTTCCACTATCCTTTTCTCAACTAAGTAACACTGAAACAAATTTAGGATAGGCAGAGGTCAGATAGTCTGTGTATAATACTGATAACAAATTCCAAAACATCCCAAACCACAGGTAATGTAGGACCGCAAGGTAACAGACCATAGGTAACAACAGCTCTCAGTTCCAGGTAAGGAGGCCTGAAGGTAAGGTTAATTTTGTTGTCAAGTACAAATTTATATCAGTTATATACTGGTATCTGGATCTGTTTAGCTGAGCTTTCACTACCACTTGTGTTAACAAGAGGCCCATTATACCATAAATCAAATGTTTCCTTCATTATACGGACAAGACAATTATATATCATTTTCCCACTAATGGTAACACAAAAACATGAGAGACATTCTTTCAATACTAATACACCTATATTTCTGATTGATGGTCTTGAATTGACTACAGTGACATGTGATAAGGGAGACAACTGATGTTTGAATTTCGGCTAAACTTTATCCTACTACAATGTGACTTAAACAAATTTGCCTTGCCATTTTATGGACTTTTGTATTGCATTTAAACTTAATCATCATTAGACTGATGGAAGTTCTAGAGAATATTGAAAATTATTATCATCTTTGCTGATCGAAGAGATTGCCAGTTTTGACTGCAAAATTGGCTTGAAGCATTGAAATTGCAAGCAGTTTTACAGGTTGCATTCCTTTGTACCCAGGGACCTGTATTAATTTCCAAGCAAGGCTTATAGTAAAATGTCTGCCAGTTCTTTTGATATAATGACCGTAAAATATGGTTAGCTGAAGGGAAGGTCTCAGAAGCATTTTAAAATGCTTTTTTTTTTCATCTTAACATGAATGCTTTTTTCAACTTGTATTGTCAGCTTTAAAGATCAAAATTTATATCACCTTTCATTGTCATACATTTGACACCTATGTCAACCACATTCTTCTGAAACATGATTCAATGTATTTCTTCCCTATAACCAGAGATCAATCACACCAAATTTAGAAAATATTCCTTAAGCCTTTCTAGCCTGGATTCACAGACGTTTAAAACAAAAACTAACAGGCAACAGAGGAATGATGGATCTTTTGAGCTTGCAGGTGAGCTCACCACAACCCAACTTTCAAACCTTTGAGCCAGCATGCAAGCTAACAATATCAGCTTTCAAGCTTGACTCAGCATATAACTAATAAGATCAGCTTTCAAACCTTTGAGCCAGGAGGTAAGCAAATAATTTCAATTTCCTAACCTTTTGAGCCAGCATTTGAGCTCAGCACAATACAACTTTCAAACCATTAGCTTTCGCACCTTTGAGCCAGCAAGTGCGCTTACAACAAACATAAAAAATAATACAAACATGTCAACATAGTCGCTATTCAAACTCAAATTCAATAAAACTAGGGCAAAATATGAACAAAAAAGAAAGATTTACAATGAGATTACTGAAAAACTACAAGGCAAATAAGACCAAGGTTTCAGGAAGATTAAGCGTCTTCTGTTTCAATGACGACACTCGCCTTGTAAACCTTGGTCAATCCAAGTAAGTAATGTCACATTTTCAAGTGAGAACAAGGTATACAACAATGGAACCAACAGGCAAACTAACGAGCATCAAACATGTCCAGCTTCATGTCACGCAAAGAAACAGAACATTTCTTAATGAGATCACTATGATGACCAAATAAAAATCTCCCTATAATTTTCTCCAACCTGCACCTTTTGAGACCCTGTGTTGTGAGTTTGTCCATCATTAGACAACTTCTTGCAAGAAAATCATGATAATGGAAACTGGTTCTTGAATATCAGAATCAGCTGTGACATGTAAATACCAATGGCTGGGAATGCAGGAATATTGCTATCCAAAACTGGAAAATTCACAACAGGGAAATTGAAATTATCATGTTTATCATACAGCTTGGTGGAAAGCTGTCATGTTTGTTTCATGGTAGGAAAAGATTGAGATAAGTAGGTGATGCAGAAGAGTCTGCCATGTCTCTGATTTTCAATTCTGGTGGATAAATAAGATGGACTAGTCAAGTGAAATCCAACGACTTTACAAGGTTAATAAATTCAACCTGGTATGAAAACAAAAACAAGTCAGCCAACAGAGGGTGCATGTTGAAGACTGCTCAAAAGCTCTGTGGAGTTCTTCAAAATCCACATACCAGTTGCTATCAATTCCACTTCTTGAGTATCACAACAAGACTGTAACCCAGATTTCAAAGTACTCAGAATGGTGGTGAGTAGTTTGGACAAAGATTTGGTTGAACAGTTAGATGAGCCAGCAATAAAACATTGTTTATAAGGATTCTTGTGAAATTTAGGAATTCAATATAAATCGGAAAGGTATGTACCCTTAAAATCAATAACCATGATTAGCTAGTATTATAAGATTTCACCATCTTAGCTTTCAAAACATTTGAGCTAGCAGGTGAGCTAACAATTTTAGTCTTCAAACCTTTGAGCCAGCAAGCGAGCTTACAATATCAGCTTTCAAACTTTTGAGCCAGCACCTGAGATAGCAATGTCAGGTTTCAAACTTTTGAGCCAGCACCTGAGATAACAATGTCAGGTTTCAAACTTTTGAGCTAACAATACCAGCTTTCAAATTTTTCATCCAGCATGTGAGCTAACTTTATTAGCTTTCAAAATTTTGACCCAGCATGTAAGCTGATAATATCAGCTTTCAAAACTTTGAGCCAGCACGGAGCTTACAACATTTTCTCACAGTTACTACTAGATATAGAATAATTTTTATATCACCTTTAGCCTTTATCACAGTGGAAAAACCATTTCCATGTTTTAAATGAACTGCACTTGAATTTGTACCGTGCACAGGTGAGTTACACATATATAGATGTTATACACGTGTTTACACAACTGAATGTTAATTTTTTGTGAGTGTGTAAAACATAATTAATTCCTTTCTGCAGATGCTAGATGTACTATACCTTAAACTTTTCAAGATAATATAATCCATCAATACAAGTGACATCAGATGTACAGTTGTCAACATGTATATACTCAAGAAGTTCCATCCTGGACACAACCCTCTTGGCAGATTGATACAGAATTCACTTTCTCAACATCAAACATGTCTTTTTTATTCTAGATAATCACAGGCTGTAACAAATTGATGACATCTTGAATAATGGACTCCTTTTTATCCCTGTCTTGTTTCTTCACATAACTCACATAAAGAAACATAAAAAAGGGTCAGCTAAATTACATTGTACACTGTGAAGAAGTTCTTTGATGACAGTCCCAGGATATAGTATGACAATTAAGTGTAGGCCTTTTAAATTGCAGGCAATTTGAGATGTAATTCATAAATGTCTATTTCTTGTGTAAAATTTCAACATCAGTCAAGTTGTTATCTTGACATTTCTAACTAACATCTTGTGTACGTAATAATTACCTGTAAAATGTTCCTACTTCTCTATTGTAGTGATTGATATCTACTTTACGTGTAAGATTTCACCAACAAAGAAAATCTATAATGGATGTAACAGTACCATCTGTCTTATTTTAGGAGTGGAAAAGAACTGATTCAATGGTGATAGGTTTTTCAGTTATTCAGCATACTCTCAGCTCCTTTAAGGTTCATACGTGGCACATTGACAAATAATCATATTTCAGTCACATACATCATAAAATCAGCTGCTCTTGTCAATGTCAGTTTACTAGGACTGTTACAAGGCTGTTTACAGCATGCCCCATCAAATCCCAACATTTTTAAGTTTATCAGAAATATGCAATTTAATTCAGTAACCAAAGTGTTAATGAGTAAACAATCTACATTCCCTTTTAGTATGAATATAGAAATATTTCTTTAATGTCTCAAACTTCAGAAAATCTAAAAATCAATACAAAGCAAAGTCTTAACTGCAGACAATAAATAAGAGACAAAATATATTACAAAGTCTATTGTAGCCTACATGGCATGGTCAGATGAGTTCTTTCCCTTGGTGTGCAATTCTGGATTACTTCCCCTTAATGAAGAATGTATGTAAAGCAATTATTTTGAACTGCAAGAAAAAACCCCTCAAAGTCTGCATCAAAAAGCAAGGGTAGACGGTAAACACAACACAGATAAGTCATATTTCCTAATCACATATCATTATTTTGTAGTGATTGATATCTACTTCATTTTGACAAAGCCTTACTTGTCATCTGATTTGAATTCATTTTTTCATGGAGATTTGGTAAAACATCCTCATGATTGTAAAAATTTACACAGAAAAAATGGTCTTCAACGAATAAGCAAAAGGATGCTGCCTCAGAAATAAATTTGGCTGCATATCTATATCCTGGGTATTTTCAGTTTTCACTCAAAATTAAAAATGATGTGTATAGTGATTTCTTGTAGACAACTTTTCAGTCAGTGCTTTGAAGAACACTACAGTTACTGCAATATCTCAACCATCAATAATTTATTAAAATTTAATTTGATCTTCTGTCATGATGTAAATCCATTGTAAATCTATTATCTGTTATGTTACAATGTTATCTTTAACATGATAACTGGTCAGTAATGATATGACTTTACATTAACTCTGAAAAGGACTTTATGTGTAGGACATTGTGTTAACCATGATAACTGATTTGTAATAGTAGGACTTTATGGGTAGGACATTGTGTTAACCATGGTAACTGATTTGTAATGGTAGGACTTTATGAGTAGGACATTGTGTTAACCATGGTAACTGATTTGTAATGGTAAGACTTTATGAGTAGGACATTGCTTCAAAT